AGTTACAAAAAATGAAACCATTTGGTTTTATATTCTTCAACTTTAAACTTAGAACTCAAAACAGCAGCTGGTCAGCATGTTGAGGTGTGAGCACACATCTTTGAGCACTAATGATATCTCCCGCCGTTGAAAATACCCTTTCAGCTGCTACACTAGTGCCGGTTATACACAAATGCATTTGTGCCAGCTTGGAGAGAACAGGGTAGACATGGGATTGACTTTTCCACCATAGCAGGGGATCCTCAGTCAGTGGAAGAGACGGGGCATCTTGATATTTTTTTGTCTCCCTCTCTACAAGGGCTCTGGTTGATCCTGCCTGACTTGTATTGTTCTCGAAGGTGTGGCCCAGCAGGTCCTCAAGTGCAGACTTTCTCTTCTTTGCATTCTCTGCAACTAGATCACAGTCTGCCTTGGTCTTTTCACCATTTGCGTGAGGAATCTTCTCAGAGGCCACCTGTAGTTGCTGCTGAAGTGCTTGTCCATCCTCTTTAAATTCTACAGCCTTGGACACTAGCTTGGTGTAAGTCTCTTGCACTTCTTCAGGTGACAAAAAAACTTTTTAAATCGAGGATCAAGAGCTGATGAAATGCACAACAGATGCTTCTCTTCTGATGATTGATATCTCTTGAGGAGATCCTGGTGAATAGCACCCTTAATGTCTTTGACTAGCGGTGAATCTTCAGCAGTTATGATCGTGTCTCTCAGTTGTTGGGTGTGGAGAGGGGCAATTATCAAAATAGTGGGACTCTTTTCCTCGCACATGATGTTTGTTGCCACAAGCATGTGTTTGAGGGCCTCCACCATCTCTTCCGCATTTGAGATGTCAGATTCTGTCAATGAGCAGTCAGTTGCATTCTTTCTCACCTTAAAAACACAATAGGAACAAATTAGATTTCACTTTTTTACTACACAGAATATACTAATCCTGATGTTTCATGATTAAATTTAAATATAAGCGTAAGTAAGTACAAACATTACTTACTAAATATAAGTGCCAAAATGTAGTATTATATAAAAAATGTGTTAAGATTCAATGTAATTAATATTTATTTCATATGAGCATGAGCACATTTATTCATTGACATAATCTGCATTGTATCAATATATTTATGGGTGAATGATCACAAAATATATTACCTCAGGTGATAAGAGAACTGCGCAGACGGCTGGCTGCTGTTCCAGAAACCGAGTGACCATCTCGTAGGCACTATTCCAACGAATTGGCATGTCCGTGATGAGCTTGTGAGGGGGGAGGGCAAGGAGTGTCTGGTGCCGTTTCAGTGCTTGTGCCCCGATTGTGCTTCTGTGAAAGTAGTTTGACATCCTTCTAATCTTGGCAACATTGTTTACCTTCAGTGCATGTTGTGACGCAAGATTTAACACGTGAGCAAAACACCGTACATGCTGGTAGCCGGTTAGCTCCATAGCTCGAGTCATATTTGATGCATTATCCGTAACGACCACCGGCTGCTTTGTGGAAATATTCCACTCATCCACGGCTTTCTGAAGTACTTCTGCAAAGTGGGCGCCAGTGTGGGTGTCGTGCATCTCACGTGTTTGAAGGACGTATGATTTGATTTCCCAATCCCTAATAAAGTGAGCTGTAATCGTAAGATATGACTGCGTGGCTCTTGAGGACCAACCATCGCATGTAAGTCCCACTCTTTCTGCTGACTCAAGGGCATTCATTACTTCTGTTTTGGTTTGCTCATACAACGCTGGGATTTTTGTTTCGGTAAAGCATTTACGGCTGGGGATGTCATAGCGGGGCTCCAGGACCGGCATCATGTAGCGAAACCCTTCATTTTCCACTACGCGGTACGGCCTGAGAGCTTTGCAGATAAACAAAGCAATGCCGTGGGTGATAGCCATTGCCCTGGGGGAGTAAAATGGAAGTTTTTTTTGGAGTGCAGAATCTATCTTGGTCTGTGCAGGATTCGTAACAGTCTTGAGGTTTGAGCCGGCTCGCTTCGGGTGATGGCGTAGCAAGTGGCTATGCATGTTCGTGGTGTTCCCAGTATACTTGATTCTTAACAAGCAGCTCTTACAAACGATATAATCCTTCTCCAGCTCTGTAGAATCCGAAATGACTCCACACTTTAGACTTGAGTGACGGTGGTACATCTTTTAGTTTCTTGCTGGACACCGCCATGTTTTCTCCCGCTCCCTCTATTGAGGATTTCCGCCAGTGTGGACGGCACTTTTGCGGGGCGCCCCGTAGCGGATTTTCCAATAATTACTCAATAAAACACGTAGAATGGAGCCACGTAATGTATAATGTAACCATATATTAAGTATTGATACTTACTTATAAGTATATACAACAACAACAACAGCAAAAAAATCGATACTCGGAAAAAGCATATCGATAATCGATCGTGTGAGATAGTATCGCGATATATTGTCAAATCGATATATCGTCACACTCCTATGGCTCAGACCACTAATGTCCCCGTGACCACTTTGCGGCTCTCTGATTGGTCGCTGCATAAACGTCCCGAGGAAAGCTTGAGCAAAGTTTATTTCCTGTGGGCGTCGATTTTCCTCTCCTGCTCCTCCCCTTCGACTTTCCCGCGTGTCTCTACTGAGCAGTCCGTTTGTGCGTCCTGAGATGTTCGTGCGTTTTGACGCTCAAACGTGCGTCACCATTGACTTTGCATTGAAAGCCGACACAACGCATGATCCGGTCTGAACGCACCATCAGCCATCCGTACACTCAGCTCTATCATCATTTCACTGCATGTAACATCTGGGTCTGGTCCCTGTGTTAGCGATTACAATCGGTTGAATTTCGACCAACAAATCAGCGATCAGGGAGGTGTTGTAGTTAGTTGTGGGTGATGTCAAGGGTTTGCGTCAAAAAGGCAGGTTGTAGTTTGGCAATGGCTAAAAATGTGATGGTAAAGTAATCCGGTCTGGTTCTTTCAAGAAATTGAAGCCAGAAGCCATTCGTCAGAGTAATGTTTAGCAAATGTATGATGAAAAAAAATGCTACTCCCCACGGGCTCTGTTAGCAACAAAGTAGATGGCTAGGCTAAATGCTAACAACTCACTCAGGCGCATTACATACGTCACGGTAAACTCGGATCCAATCGTTTCAATCTGCAAAAGGAGTTAACCCCTCCCACCTTTAAACGGAGCTCAATGGAGCACCTCCAGACCTTAGTACGAAATGTAATTTGTACTATGGTGTGGTATGACCAGGCTACCATTAAGATGAACAACCTCTTTTTCAAGGGAGTCCTGGACAAGATGCAGATAAAGTTACACACAGTTAAATAAGACTATATAAAAAGTTAACTGTCAAAAAGGACGTCTCAGGTGCTCTCAATCTGGACTTAAAAGCATTCAATGAAATAAATGTAGTTCATCTCCAGCCTTTTTGCAACACGTTCCATGTAAAAGGAGCAGAGTATACAAAAGCCTTTTTTCCCAGTTCTGTGTGGACAAAAGGAACAGAGAGCAACAAACGGTCACTTGAACGCAGTCAGTAAGAACCAACATCTCTCCATGTGATTAAATGACAGATCTAAGAGGGCAGTAGACCAGGAATCGCCTTATAAACAAAAGTGCACCAGTGTCCTAACCTCCTGAAGAATGGACATGTGCATATTGTGGACAATCTTCTCTGCTGCTACATTATTCCTCTGTGTTACAGGTCATTTCCATGTTTTTGTCGCGAATATCAGAGATAACAACAGAGGACATCAAATCCTCCTTTGCTCCATTTGGGAAAATAACGTAAGCTGATTATAGCACTCTCGCTTCTCAGCAAGAAGGTCCAGGGTTCGAATCCTGGTCGGAACAGGGCCTTTCTGAGTGGAGCTTGCATGTTCTCCCCGTGTCTGCGTAGGTTTCCTCCGGGTATTCCGGTTTCCTATACCACAAAAAACATCCACATTAGGTATGAATGTAATGTGTGAGTTCAGTGGGGCTTTCATGCGCCAGTGTGTTCAGCGACCCGCTTCAGTCATCGTGTGTGGAGAGAATGGAACAACTATCTGAACTCTGAACAATTGTAAAGCGCTTTGTCTGTAAAAATGTGCTATATAAATAAACCTTACTCACTTACTTACTGCTAATTATTGGGTGGTCAAAGATATTGCTACAGGAATATCCAGAGGTTTTTTGTTGAACCTTTATTTAACCAGGAGAAACTCATTGAGATTAATAATCTATTTTTCGAGAGTGTCCTGGTTTGTGCTGTTGAATAATAATTGAAAAAAAACTTGTTGATATAATGCATTGTTTTTATTCATTCTATTGTATCATCATGTTTTCATATCCTATAGGATGCTGAAAATGCCATTCAGCAGATGGGAGGACAATGTCTGGGAGGAAGACAGATCAGGACTAACTGATACTCATACTTATTTCTCAACTTTCATACCACTGTCTTTTACAGACACGGCAAAAACATTGTTGTTGTTGATACAGACATCATCATTCCAAAATATAATGGCTTGATCGGAAATGTTTTCCCTTTCATTCGCGCAGGCATCTTGTAAATCCTAAGATAGGCTAACCCTTCACGCCTGAAAGAGGAAAAACCTTTTCCATCACTCCATATATTTTGGTTTGTTTGCAATGTTTCAGTCAACTCTGTTACTCTGACAAACAGTCAGCGATATGGCGAGCCACAGACAGACTCTGTGACCTGCGTATAAACACTGAGTGTTTGAGAACTGTCTCAACGTTCACAGTGAAACATATTTAACATGAGCCACTCAGACTCAGCGCTGTGAGAGCAAAACTACAGGATTTCACTCCCACAGCTCCTGACCACACCTGTGGAAGTGTGGTCTGTTAACCTGAGCTAGGGCTGATGTTAAATCGATGTCTCTTCAAAGTAATGTTTAGCCATTTTCGACTGGAAAGCTGACCGTGGTATGGTGTGTCGCAATCCGTTAAAATGCCTTAAATATTGTTAAATAACTCCCTCCCCTCCTCTCTTCCCGCCCCCTGAGTGTGTTGCACCTCGACTCATTTGTTGAAATGAGTCAAGATGCTCCCACTACAGTGATGTTGAGGTGATTACTCCCTGCAACACTTCCACCACCTCCTTCTCTTCTTCTGGCCCCTTTTGTCCAACTCGTTCTGGATCTCTTCCACTTGAGCTTGGTTTGACACAGCTCATCATTTGATTCCTTCAAAGACGTCTCCAGCTCTTCACATTTGCTCAGGGTAGTTTTGAAGCTTGTTTCCAGCTCCTGCAGAACCTTCTTGTGTTGTGCCTCCTCGGCCGTTTGCTTGTCAGATAGCAAAGTCTTCAGGTAGGCCACAGTTTGGTCCTTGGTTTCTGCGTCCCTGTCAGCCTGCTGCAGACTAGTCTTTAGAGCCTTATTCTCGGCTTCAGACTTCTTCAGTTGTATTTTGGTCTCTGCAAGTTCCCCCACATTCTTTATGTTTTCAACTGCGTCTATGATGTGATATTTCTCTGCTTCATCCAGCTCCTCCTGCAGCTCCTGTGTCGAGGTCTGCAGCTCCTGGATCGTCTGCTCTTGCTGCTGTTGGAGCTTTTTCATCTTTGAGATTTCAGTTTCCAGCTTCATATTCCTTGCCTCGTCTTGTAAATGTAGTTGTTCTGCCGTATCCAGTTGTTCCCGCAGAGATAATGTGTCTTTCTGCAGGTCCATACAATAATTCTCCAGATGAAATTGTTTCTCAAGGACTTTTTCCTCATAATCATCCATCTGGTTTTGGAATTCTCGAGCCACAAGCTTTATCTCTTTCTCCCTTTTCTTAATGAATTCCTTTCCGTAGTCGATCAGGGTGTCTCTTTGCTCCAAGAACTCCTTAAGCTCATCAACTTTGAGCTGGAGATCATCGCGTTCTTGAACTATCTGGTCAGCTGTCATTCTCTGCTGATTCAGTTCATATTTCAATTTTGCGACTTCTGTCTTGAGCATCATGCTTTCAAAATCAACATCCATAAGCGTTTGGTCTATTTGCTCCAGTTGTTGTTGCAGAGAGGCTACGGTTTCCTCCAGGTCCACACAGTGATTCTGGAGATTCACATACAGTATTCACATATCCTGGAGGGAAACCTCCAGGATATGTTTCTCCTGGAGGTTTCCCACATAGAGATTGACCCCGTTTCGGATCTTCAGAGCTTCGTTCTTCATTATCTTCTCCCTGTTCTTTATGAATTTTGTCCCAAATTCTATCAGGGTGTCTCTCTGTTCTAGGAATTCGTTTTGCTCGTTAATTTTTTGGTCTCGGTCTTGAAGTGTCAGTTCCAGCTCCGTCAGTCTCTGCTTCTGTACAGCGTTGACCTTCCGGGTCTTCTCCAGTAATGTTTCTCCACGTCTGATATGCTTTAGACACATATACTCTTGCATTCTCTTCTGGTCCCAATGGTTCAATCAGGACATTATCAGGATGTATGTGTGTAGGAAACATCTCCTTCAAAGCTTTCCACATTCTACCTCTGTTACAGGCAAAAAGATCTGCATCATTTACTGATGTCTTCATATAGAGATGTAGCTCAGCTCTCTGTAAGATTTCCTCCATGGCCACAACACCCAGGAGTATCGCAAACAGTCTCTTGATATCACCCATTGCAAGAATTGTCCCCACAGAAATCTCCTCTAGTTTCGAAATCCAAGCATGTGCTCCATCTTGGATCATGGGCAGCTTCTCCATGACCTCAGACAGATCTGTGTTCTTCATGGTCTGTACTCCAGGTCTCCTCCACAGACCACTACAGGACACATTTTATTGATTGGTTTGATTCTTCTTGATCGTACTTGAAAAGACATTGGTGTTAATATTTCTTCGCCTCTAACTTCTGTGTGTTCTCGAAGTGGATTTTCTTGAGTAAATGCAGGCAGCTGTGAATATGGATCTGAGTGTTTCAGAGTGTCCTGAGTCTGTGGTTCATGTAGCTGTGAGAAATGTCCATCACTGTTTATCATTACTGTCCCAGCTTTCTGGATGTCTTTGTTTCCTTTGTTTAAGTCTTTTATAAGTGTCTTTGCCTCAAATTCAAACAACTCAAGTGTTCCAAGTTCAATCCGACGTTTCTCTTTCCTCTTTCGACCTCTACAACCTTTGTTCTCTTCTGCTTTGTATGTAGAGATTAGGACTTTTAGAGTTTTGATAACTTCGATAGAAAACGTTCCCTCAGCAGGCCAGGGAAATTCGATGTGGGGCCAGCGCCTTTGCCATTTCTTAGAAATTGTATCCACATTATTTACAAGTGGATTACGCCGCTGTACAACTTCTATTGGTGTGATAGTTTTATTCAAACTAGGTTTAGAACTGTTCGCGTCCATTTTGCAAAGCACTATAACAACCGCGCAATTCAATAAAATTCAAAAGTCAAATTTGATCACTTCTAATTGATTTTAATTTAATCAGAGATTAAGCAACACCATCCTATTTTTACTCAATAGCTTCAACCCAATTGTAAGTCAATAAACTATTACTCATTTCTCTCTCTTTTTATTTATTTTATCGACTAGTTTAGTTTAGTTTATTAATTTATTTCAACAGGGACAATGTGCAAATACATTAATTAAAGATGCTTTGCACCAGATTTAGCTTGAGCTAGTTTCCATCTGCAGTCCCTGAGCAGGTGAGTCAATTCTCTATTCCAGCCATTCCCAAACTCAGTAACACCGAGGCCCCCTTAAAAATCTGAAGGGTCTGCGTGGCCCCCCCAAAATAATAACCAAGAAGACAACATTAAGAATAGGCTCTTCTGGTTATTTTATTTTGGGGAAATAGCCTCTGCTACAAACATTGTAATACAAAAATGATTACAGTGGATTATTCAAGTCAAATAATGAACACAAATATTTTAATATTACAAACAAAACATTATAAATTTAACATTAAATAATTATATTATTTTTTTTATGACCTCCCGCGGCCCCCCTGCAGTACCCACGCGGCCCACCAGGGGGCCGCGGACCCCACTTTGGGAGACACTGCTCTATTCTATTTTACTTCATAAGTACTGTAATTTGAACTTGCTAGTGGTAATCTATTACTCTATTCTGTTATTTAAGTCTAAACCAGACAGCAACAAAATGCAACCTTTTTGGGATTCCTAAAAGTGAATAAAACCAGACCCAAATATTATTGCAGCATATTTTGGAAAATTAAAAAATGTTTGATCATTTTTAGACCAAAGATAAATCTCTCAGCTCAGTCAGTTGCCAAAGTCCTGTGTCAGTTATAACAGATTTTTGTGTGTAATGATCTTACAAACAAGTGCATCATGGGAAACATTTGTGGATAGAATACACTGCACCTGATGAAGAGCAGCTTTCATTGGATCTGTTGAAAGGACGAAGGTCGTCTTTTTCTCCACTGGACCCAGCTCTGGTCAAACACCTTTGCTCTCGTTCAGCACAAAACAGAGAAAAGCCAAACTTCAGTTTGAGTTCATCATAAACATCAAATCAAAAGTGACACATTAGTGTAAATCTAACTCTATCAAACTCATCATGTCTAAAACATGCTAACATTGATTATTAATATGACTATGATCAACACTGAGTTTTATGCTGCGATATTTAACACAAAGAGTTATTATATCATAATAAACTAGGCATCAAAATGCTTTATGACAAACACTTAACATTGTCTCTTTCACATAACTCCACCCTTGTGAGTCGTCACTACACAAAGGCAAAAATATAAAGACGGATGGACTTCACACACACACAAAATGACTATAGTCTCACTCTCACAAAAGAAACAAAAACAAAAACTTATTCAAAAGTGTAAGTCCACTTGTGATCACAAAATAGCAGCTTTTGTGATTGCAAGCAACAAAAATCCTCAAACCCAAAAATCTAAACTAGTCTTGTATAATATCAATCTAAGACTGTTAAAATCAATGAACGTTACATTCTTCGATTTTAAGCTAATTTCAAAATGGTTGACCATATCTCATTACCAAATTATTTTCACCAGTGAAATATTTGTCACTGGTTCCACCCCTTTTTTATTTATTTTCGTCAATGCAGCAAGCATTAATCAAATAACTAGTAATAGTCAGATTTAAGCACAATGGGAGACTGTCCTCCACTCTCTCTAACAGCACAGGGAGGGAGGGGAAGAGAGGGGGAAGAGGGGGGTAAGCTGTGTTGAGTTTGCAGAAAGGAGGCAAACTCACTCACACTTCAGGCCTTTATCTAAACTTCACTGTACAGTCAATTCAAATATCACATTTTAATCCAAATTAGTCAGACTTTGTCCTGGGCCTCAGGTAACACTATTTAAGAATCTAAATTTAGCTTGAATTCATTTCTAACTGATGGATCATAAGTCAAAGCTATTGTCAATTCATCATGGCCATGAAACTGACAACAATAACCACGTCCATAAAACTACTGCCAAGGCTTTTAGAGACACCATTTTAGACACACTATAGACACACTATAGACACACTGGACCTCATTTGACAATGTTCAACAAACTTCTGGCAAGGTTTAAACTAAAAACTAAAAACTACACTGAAAAACCCTGAACTTCTTCTCTCATAAACACACTCTCTGTGTGTCTCCATCTCTGACTCTACGTCTCTCACTTCTGTTTCTACGCGCCTCGCTTTATGACTCTATATGTCTCACTGTCTCTGTTTCTACTTTTTATCTGTATCTTTATCTCTGTCTCTATTTCTCTGTGTCTCTGTGTCCCTGTTCCAGTGTCTCTGTGTCTCTGTGTCTCTGTGTCTCTGTGTCTCTGTGTCTCTGTGTCTCTGTGTCTCTGTGTCTCTCTGTGTCTCTCTGTGTCTCTCTGTGTCTCTCTGTGTCTCTGTGTCTCTCTGTGTCTCTCTTCTAACGTAAAAATAAACTGAGTTTATTATTCTCAAAAGTGTTACCTTCGTGAACAATAAACTAAAACAAATTTAGAAATTTAAACCCTTCCAACACTATACTGTGATTCCGGAGCAAACTAACAATACAGCACAAAGAAGAAAAGATTTTAGTGAAATCTCACCCTTTTAGAAAATCGGCCTCTCTTTTCTCCAGTCTGCAGTACGCTGCTCTGCTTCCGCCTCAGGTCGAGTCGCCAAAATGTGGCCCAAAGCCACCTAAAAATGTGTCGTCTTTAAAAACTGTTCTGACAGCCCAAAACTGCCGTTGTGACGCCAAAATGTTGCGTCATTGAACATGCTAAGAATTGAAAAATTGACTGTTATGTGACGCCAAAATGTTGTATCTTCTCATCAGCAGAAGATGGGGTTTCCCGCACAAACCAGTATAGTATTGGAGAAGGAACGCACTCTGAGTTATGTATTAAAGAAAGAGTTTAATGACATAATCAGAATACATCAAGTCCAATTCAGGCTTAGCTTTCAGCCTGGGTCAGCTCAGAGAATGAAGATGGCATGACTGACCCCGCACAAACTGCGGACTCCTATCTTATAGATTGTTGAAGAAGTCATAAGACCCAGTCACAAGATCCAGAAAAAGCAACCCATACATTTAAGGACAGCCATGTACATTGTCCTAACATTAGTGTTGCTCACACGTCTACCTCATGACTGGTCAGCTGCTTCTACCATTTTGGCCCAGATGTTCCCAACACATTTTGAAGATACATGCTGTATATGTAGAAGTTATAATAGCAGACACTACATCCACTTTTCCCGGAAGCCCCCGTCCCCAAACACCACGGCTGTGTCTTCCATGACGGAGCAGCAGCCATCTTCCTGGGGCTATGAGCTATGACCCCCCAGACCCAGAAATGGACTCATAAAGGGGTACAAAATTAATGAATTAATGTATTTCTTGGGTTTGAACTGTTTGATTCTCTGTTGTCGTTGGCGAATCCACAGTTTTGTAGATTCAGCCGGGATTTAGGGCGATACACGAATTGACTTGAACTGAATCTAAAA